AACTTACAACGTAAATTCCTTTTTTGTATGTGGAAAAGTCCGCATATACAGTGAAAGCTGCTTGAACTGGCCCATTTTTCATTATTTCCTTTTGGATAGCTGTGACGCTATCCATCACGGCGTATGCGCTCTTTCCTTTAAAATGATCACTAACTAATAGTCACCTTTAATAACTTTTAAGCTAACCCCTTATTAAATCTGATGTGTAGCTCTTGCCGTATCCCGCCTGGCATTGCTTTCTACAAGTTGGAGTGTAGTACAATTCGGGGCACTCGCCGTAGTATTTCTGATTTGTATGATGACCGCATGGATGGAAAGGATATGGTTTGCAGACACCCTGAAATTGGACACTTGAAAAGAAAATGTAATAAGAAATGTATGATTTTTTCTAGTTGACAAAAGTACCTTCTGCTCATATGCTCCTCCAGAGCAGGCACCCGTTGTTGTTAGGTACTGCCAAGCTCTGATTGGAAATCCTCCATTGCACCTTAAGAAAGAGATTTGCTACCGATAATTAATGTAATAAATGACTTTAAAGATTGATATTGCTGTAATGTTTAGTAATAAAGGAGCATACCCATGTCCGCAGAACTTTCCACAGCATGAAAGAATGTCAGCGTCGGAAATCAGAGTCTAAAAATATACTTTGTGAAATGTTTCTAGCGCTTATTTAGAATGGATCCTGCTTATGATCTGATCAGCGTTATCACCACGTTAGTCCAAAAATACTCCACTGCTAAGAGTCGCTGGATTGAAAGCTGCTCGGTAATATTTTCATCTCGATAGCATATGGATGTCGAGCACATAGTCTTTTCTACATACCTGTTTCCTGCCCTTGGTCTGGACGCAAATTCTGTCAGACATTGCTGATGCCGCAGAGACAGCCCAACATGATCCTAGGGTAGGAAGTAAAACTCGCCAAAGAACAAGGTCAAGAATCAAGGGGATAGAATACCACATGCTGACTGATCACGGATGGTCTTTATGGATTCGCAGAAAGGCCACTCTGTTCGAGCATCAAAGCTGTAACGTAACAATCGTAAAGGGCCATCGAGCATAGACATATCTGTACCTTGTGGGAATAGGCTCATCAGTTTCGATTTCTTCAGCACGCTCATCGTCAGCAATCAAAGTCAATCTTTCATCCATCAAACGTCTTCTCTCCTCTTTTTCCGTCATTGTGGGAGGACCAGCCTGTTGGAAGTTACTATATTACTGTCACAACGTCACTATGTTCATATACTGTTGAACAGATACGAGCGGTATTAAAACAATTAAGTTGTTTTAAATCGCAGCTTCGGATTTGCTCCACTCACGCAAAACAACTACTTCACCTCGAAGAATGGTTGAGCATTATTGACATAGTAGACCAGTGCCTGTCCAGTGAGTTTTTTGGCAAAATCGGGAATGGGATGCTCGGCTAGAAAGCAAAACTATTGAAAATTAAAATCAAATTTGTTAGAGTTGGAACTATGTGATAGTTGTGAAAGAGCGCTGCACTCCAACAACCATACGCATCCCATGATTTTCTAAAGTTATCGAAGTAGCTGACTGGACAAATAAGTTACTGCTTTTTGAATGGTATGGGTTGTTATCACTTCATTTCTTGCTGTTACCGTTGGAAATTCCCTCTTTGATGAGCTTAGTAAGATTACCCACCGAGTGAGATAGGCTCAAAAGCAGTTGCAGCTGCAAGAATGGTCAGAAAGATAATCATCTGCAATAAGGATGATTACGGGAAAAATAACTTTTAACGTAAAGAACTTACCTTATCCTTGTGAATTTCACTTTTATGGTACGCTTTTATACAGTTCGCAGC